AGGAAGTCCCCCGTGTTTGACTGAGGCTGCATTGAACCGATGCATCGATTCGGAAAGGATTGACATCTTTACCATGCCGAGTTGTCGGTACCCGCACGTGCTGCAGCCTCCTGCCTCCACATAGGCCTTCAGATTCTCTGCACACTGCTTTACGGATTTCAGTGTGGAAGCCTGCACATCCCTTATTAGATTTATTTTATTCAGTAATCATAACCTCAACCGATTGTCTCATTAGGAATTCCCAAATGGCAATTTTCTAATTCTACAATTCATTATGCATTTATGGGCTAGAACTTTCCAATAAACCAAAACTCTCCTCCATCCTTTAAGGCCACTTCGTTTTCCTGATAACACAGTTCATACCAGCAAGGCAGGCTAAGTGCTTGTTTCCCTTTAATGACTAGTTTCTAGACAATTCGTTGGTACCCCAGCAACCTCCAAAAGCATATAATTCGTTTCATTTTATTTATCTTTCCCCTTTCATTGTCCTAATGAATTCATGCTTTTACATCTATCCAGTATGTTTTTATAAATTGTTGGTATGCTACCAGACTTCCAGTTTGTCCCAACTTGACACAGGAAGTCCCTGCAAGCTAGCTCCTGTATCCTTTGGATAAACTCCTGTCTATTAGATTTCCTCAAGTCAGAGCAGGAGAAAGGAGCCTTGTGTGTAGGCAGAGTCCCCGGAAGGGGGCTCCTGAAAGCAGGAATAAGTGACACGGGACCATCACCAGCAAGGAGGGAGGCACAAGTTGGCCACCAGGACTTTTCTTCTGAGTGGCACTGAGTGGGGAGCTTTGTAAAATGTTTTGGAATTATCTGCTTAAGGGCATAAGTGGGCGAGTGTGCCGGCCTGCGGCACAATGAACTGGGTCTTCCTGAAACAGGAGAGTGGGAATGCGGGGACAAGGACGCAAAGAATGGAGCCAAGACAAGTCCTGATCAAGGCTCGTTTATTGAATAAATCCAGTAGTATTTAAACATGACCAGTTGTTTACAAGAAGGAGCACAAAAGATTTACATATCAAAACGGCTCTTAAGGTTACAATAAAAACACTTAGGTGATAAATGAAGGTTACAGGTGTGACTGATTATCTGTATCATCTCTTGTGAAAGGTTTAGGTTCTTCCTGCCTCTTCCAGGAATCTCCCCTAGCCTAATTGTCTGTGCCGGAAAGTCTCCATTCATATGTTTAAGTGTAAACAAAGGGAGTGACTACCTGTGGCTGCCCACAGGCGAGGCATCTATGCACTGGTTCCCCTAAGATTCCCAGTAGCACACTCGTGACCTCTGAGCAGGTTCCACTCAAGTTTCTACTTCCTGCGAAGCCCCAGAGAAGCCCCAGAGCACACCGCAGGAGATCTGCCATCCACGCGGACCGGAAGCTCTCACTGGCTGCACCCACACAAAGCCTGTGAAAACTTGCATGAGCCGCTCAGGGTGACTGACATCGGAGGTGGGGCTGAGAGGACATGGAAGTGTTGCCCAAGAGGTGCTGTGTGTATTCGCCATGAGCACGCAGGCCTCCCAGGGCCAGCCCATGCCGAACCTTCTGCAATAGAGTGGGAGGTACAACTTCTACAAGGATCCCATGTTTTTCGTAGAATGAACTGCAATCCCCATTGCTCAGCTCTGAGTCATGATGGAGGGAGTCTTCAAATTCCACCCAGTTTGGATTCCTTCACCTCACCCTCATCCCAGCTCCCCCTGCAGCACCCTTTCGAGAACAAGGCAACACTCCCTGCTCTGCCCTACTCCTGTCCAGGGTCATTCCTATGCAGTCACCAAGGTCACTTTCCAAACCTTCCTTTTACACTCATACATGAAAGGCACACGTGAAATTAAGACTATGTATGTGTGCTGTGTTCTCATTATTATGAAATAACTGAGCAAAAAGAAAAGAAAATATATATTATCTAGATCTGAGACATACAGAACATTCACTCAAGAGTAACAAAACAGGTTCTCTCAGGTGCACAAGGGACATTCTCTGGGGTAGACCATAAATCAAGACTCAGTGGACTTAAAAAGATAGATGTTACATAAAAGTATCTTCTCTGAGGTTGGCGCTGTGGTTCAGTATATTAATTCTCTGCCTGCAGCATTAGCATCCCATAAGGGCACCAGTTCTAGTCCCAGCTGCTCCACTTCTGATTCAGTGTTCTGCTGTGGCCTGGGAAAGCAGTAGAAGATGGCCCAACATGGGAGACTGAGAAGAAGCTCCTGGCTCTTGGTTTTGGATCGGCCCAGCTCTGGTCATCACAGCCATTTGGGGAATGAACCAGTGGATGGAATACCTTTCTGTCTGTCTCTCCTTCTCACTGTCTGTAACTCTACTTGTCAAATAAATAAATAAAATCTTAAAAAAAAAAAAAAAAAAAAACTCCTACCAAAACAGAATGAAGTTAGGAATCAATAACAGAAGAACTTGAACACGCCACACATTTGTGGAAATGAAGCAGCATATTCTTCAACACCAAATGGGGCAATGAAGAAATCTCAAGAGAAATTAGGAAATACTTGGAGATGAATGAGAATGGGAACCCAGAAGATCATAAAAAGGAGTCTTGGGAGGGAAATTTTTAGCTGAAAATGCTTATTAAAAAGAAATAGAAAGCTCTCAAAAAGGAAGAAGAAAGTAAACCCAAAGAGAGCAGAAGAAAAGAAATAATAAACAGTAGAGAGAAACAAGACATAGAACAAAAATATTAGGGAAAATCAACAAAATTAAAAATTAATTATTTGAAAAGTTTAATACTGAAAAAGCTGACAAATCTGTAGGTAGATTGAGTAAGAAAGAAAGCTCCAATTACTAACACCAGAATTGAAAGTGAGGATATTAATATGGATTCTACAAGAATGAAAAGTAATGTAGACAAGTATCATGAATAGTTTTGCAACAAATTGGATAACTGTGATTGTTGGAGTGTTTTGTCTCCTCCACAATTCATGTTGAAACTTAATCTCCATTAAACAATTATTAAAGGTGTGGCTTTAAGTGAGTCATTGGGGTTCCACCTCTGTGAATGGGATGAGGTGTCCTTTGAAAGGATTTGATGATGGAGTTCGCCTGCTTTCCCCATCTACCCGTTCTGCCACGTTAGGACACAAGGTTCTCCCCTCCAGGGGACACAGCAGCAAAGCATCACCTTGGAAGCAGAAGCAGAAGCAGGAGCCCCGTCACCAGATACTAAATTTTCCAGGGCCTTGGTGGTAAATTTTCCAGCTTTCAGAACTGCAAAATAGAAATTTCTATTCTTCATAAACTATCCAGTCCCAGGCATTTTTTATAGTTGCACAAGTGGACTAAGATGATAATCTAGATGAAGTAGACAACGTACCCAACTACCACCTACTAAAACTGTTTTATAAAGAAATAGAGTATCTGAATAGACTAGGAGGATTGCACCAGTTATCAAAAACCTCTCAGTGCATGGCCCAAGTGCTTGGGCCCTGCACCCCATGGGAGACCAGGAGAAGCACCTGGCTCCTGCCTTCGGATCAGCGTGGTACACCGGCCGCAGCGCGCCGGCTGCGGTGGCCATTGGAGGGTGAACCAACGGCAAAGGAAAACCTTTCTCTCTGTCTCTCTCTCTCTCTCACTGTCCACTCTGTCTGTCAAAAAAAAAAAAAGAAAAAAACTCTCAGTAAAGAAAAGCCCTTTAACTAATGACTCCATTGGTAAGTTCTTTTTTTTTTTTTTTTTTTTAAGATTTAGTTATTTATTTGAGAGGCAGCGGTTGAAAGATCTGTCTCTCCTGTCTCTCTGTAACTCTGCCTCTGAAATAAATAAATAAATAAATAAATCTTTTTTAAAAAATGGGGCTGAGGGGAGAACATTGTATCCATTCAATAGGGGAAGGACAGCTTCAGAGTACCTGGATTCTCACCTCTGCTACCCACTGATCCTTGCTAATGTGCACCCCAAGAGGCAACAGGTGGTGGCTCAAGAACTTGGGTCCCTCCCACCCATGTGGTAGCTCTGGACTGAGTTCTCAGCTCCTGGTTTCAGCCTGGCCCAGTCCTGGCGATTGGATGGCATTTGGGGAGTAAACCAGTAAATGAAAGCCATCTCCCCCCTCTCTCTTTCTGCCTTTCAATTTAAATGAAAATAAATAAAAATTTTAAAAATTCTTATAACCTCTTAGGTCTGTACAGTCGATTCCCCAAATTGTGGTCACTAGGCAAAGTGACTGGTATATTTAGATTTCTGTGTAACCCATCTTTTTAAAAAAATATTTATTTATTTGAAAGTCAGAGTTACACAGAGAGAGGAGAGGCAGAGAGAGAGAGAGAGAGGTCTTCCATCCTCTGGTTCACTCCCCACATGGCTGTAATGGCCAGAGCTGTGCCGACCTGAAGCCAGGAGCCAGGCGCTTCCTCTGGGTTTCCCACTTGGGTGCAGGGGCCCAAGCACTTGGGCCATCTTCTACTGCTTTCCCAGGCCATAGCAGAGAGCTGGATCAGACTATTGCTGATAACACCCAAGACCCCAGCCTTCCTTTGTCCTCTTGTTAGGCCACTGATACACAATGGCTCAGCACTGGCTCACATTCATGTCCACATTCCAGTTAGCAGGAGACAGAAAGGGAGGGGACAAGATAGGCAAACCCCATCCCTTTCAGGACACTCCTTGTACATTCCCTATAACAATTCCACACCCATCCCGTTGGCCTGAGCTTAGTCATATAACCTGTCCTAGCTCAAAGGCAGACTGGGAAAAATAGTAATTATTTGACTATGTTTCTAACTAGTGTTACAATGGCCAAGGGGAGATTAGACAATAAGTAACTCCATGATAGACTCTTCCCATAAAACAATCAGTTATGAGGGAATTTCAAAAAGTTCATGGAAATTTATATTATGGAAAAAAATGTGCATGAGTTTCAATTTTTTCCACCAAAATAAATGTATGGTTTTTTTCTCTTTGCAAGTAACTTTTGTTTTTATTTGCAACAGAATTGGTGGCTTTATTCTTCCATCTTTAGGGGCACTTGGCATCAGCAACCAGACAGAGAGTCTGCAGTGAAGTCAAACTCATTCTGCCCCAGCCACAGCTCCGGAAGCTCACCGGCCCAGTCCAGTCCCAGTTCCACCACCAGCGACATCAGCAGCACCTCCTCACCCACTGGGTCAGAATCAATGACAGCAGGGCTCTGGGCACCAGCAGCAGCAGGACAGAGTGACTCCGCTCCTCCTGCCTTAGCCTCACACCCCCAGTTTTGCAGGATCCCTGCCTCCCCAGGTTGGCCCGGAGTGGTGGCAGCCACCGCATGATACTGGCTATTCCGTTTCTGCAGCTGTATACTGGCTAGCAGGTGAGGGGTGGGGTGCACACTGAAGGGTGGGGGTTTAGAGGGAGGGGTGGCAGTAGGAGAGCCCATTGGAGATGGAGATTCTGAGGAACCAGTGGGAGCCCCGCTGGCCTTGAGGCCCCCTCCCCACTCCGGGGTAGTACAGGATGGCTGCTGGTGCCACCTTTCACAGCCAGTGCAGGCCTTGACATAGTTGGCATCTCCGAGCCTTGGCAGAAGTTGGATAAACCGGCCCGAGGTGGTGCTGCCAGCTGGAGTTGTTGTGAGAGAGCCCGAGAGGGTGCTGTGCCTTCCTCTGCCCTGTCCGTCTTCGCTGGGAACAGCACCTCAGCACTGGGCTGCGGGAGGGCAGCAGGGCCGACTGAACCTCCTTTCGGCAGCTCAGTGGTGCCCCTAAATGGATCTTTTAATTCATTTTCCCATGAACTTTTTTTAAAGATTATTCATTTATTCATTTATTTGAGAGAGAGAGTTACAGTGAGAGCGATAGACAGAGAAAGGTCATCCCTCCACTGGTTCATTCCCCAGATGGCCACAATGGCCAGAGCTGCACCGATCCAAAGCCAAGAGCCAGAAGCTTCTTCCAGGGTACAGGGGCCCAAGCACCTGGGCCATCTTCTGCTTTCCCAGGCCAGAGCAGAGAACTGGATCACAGCAGCTGGGAGAACCGGCACCCATTTGGGATGCAGCCTCCGCAGGCAGAGGATTAACTTACTGAGCCATAGCACCGGCCACTTCCATGAACTTTCTGAAGTACTTTGACATACTAGCAACATGTACAAAATAAACTATTTCCTAAAGAATTGAAAAGCCATCGTGTGTCTAGTAAATTCCACATATAATTAGATCTAATTCTAGACACTAACTTGCTCCACTGTTGTGTTAAAATAGTTTGATAATAATTATTGGCTATAATATTGTATTATTTTATGGTTTATTTCATAATTGGCCATTTGGTGACTATTTGGTTGAAGATGTTTGATTTAGGTCATTTTTATAGTTCAGGTAAAAGACAAATTAGCATTTTAAAGGCTGGTTTTTCCTAGCACCTGGATATTATAATTTGAGATAATTCTCATAGCTCTAACTTTTTAGTATTAAAAAAAATCTCTAGCCGGCGCCGCGGCTCACTAGGCTAATCCTCCGCCTAGCGGCGCCGGCACACCGGGTTCTAGTCCCGGTTGGGGCGCCGGATTCTGTCCTGGTTGCCCCTCTTCCAGGCCAGCTCTCTGCTGTGGTCAGGGAGTGCAGTGGAGGATGGCCCAGGTGCTTGGGCCCTGCACCCCATGGGAGACCAGGAAAAGCACCTGGCTCCTGGCTCCTGCCACCGGATCAGCGCGGTGCGCTGGCCGCAGCGCGCCGGCCGCGGCGGCCATTGGAGGGTGAACCAATGGAAAAGGAAGACCTTTCTCTCTGTCTCTCTCTCTCTCACTGTCCACTCTGCCTGTCAAAAAAAAAAAAAAATCTCTATCTAAAAGTCATGATGCAGTTACTAGGCGACACACTGCTTTTATGATCTTTGCCTTAGAGCAAAAACCTTACTAAAAAGAAAGCCGTAGAGGGAGCCGGAGAATCCACTTCAGAACACTGATGTGGGTAAGGGCAGGGTGAGGGCAGGTGATGAAGGAAGTTCCTGAGCACCTAATAAATTTCCCATCAGCTTGGGAAACTTCCTCAACACATGACCTCTCCCCAGCACTTGCTCAGAGCTGATTGCAGGGTGAGTCCTTCGTGCCTGTCAACCTGGGAGAGGCTGTTCTCGGTAGCCAGCTCACTCTCACAGCTTCCTCTTTGGTGATGTTAAAAGGTGCCCTCCCAGCTCCGATGCATTATCCCTCTAAGGTGCTGGGTTCCATTATCCTTTTAACAGATGGCACTGCCTGGTGGCCATTAACCCTGCCTACCAGCTCCCACTCATTCTCTTCTATGCAGGAAAGGCCTTATCCTCCTAAGTGCCTCTCTTTGACTTTATAGAAAAGATGAGTTCTTTATTTTATCAAAAGAAGCTGCACTGGGGATCTCAAGCCCTTTCACATTGCTCATGTGTGTCCTTGGCCTTAAAAAACCGAACACAATCATCTCTTCCACAAAGGTTTTCTGGATTGCCGTGCCCTCGACAATGGAACGAGCTGAAAATGGAATGAAACTTAGAAATCCAGACCTCGGGTTCTCAACTCTAACTTCCTCCCATCCTGCACAGGCTTAGTGGTGCTTATTAGTAGGGCTGAGATAGCACGTTGGCTCTTGGTCTTCTGATGTCTGTGGGGAATGGTGAGCAGCAGCTACAGATTGTATAAAGATCATAGCTACAGATCTAAAGTATTTGTAGCAGGTTGGATACTGCAAAGAAATCATGGGCTTCTCAGTAGGAAGTAGGCTCCTCCCAGGGCAGGCTCAGCTCTACTGCCAGCACCTAGAACTGTGTGCACCTGTCAGACTTGTTACCGTATGAGACATGGCAGATTGGATGAATGAATGAATGAATGAATGGACTATATAACAAAGATAGCCTCAACTTTAAACAAGAAGAACTGGATTCTTGTCCTGGACGTACCAGTAGTGCCTGCCTTTGCTGAGGAGTTGCAGGGCTGGGGACTGGGGTTTTAGCTACTTCCTTTGCTTTTTTTGAGACAGCTTTATTAAAATGTAATTAGCGTATATTGCAATTCACACATTTAAAGAGTACAGTATGGAGCCAGCAACTGCGATGCCAGCATCCCATATGGGCTCTGGTTTCTGTCCTGGCTGCTCCACTTCCAACCCAGCTCTCTGCTTATGCCGTAGGAAAGTACTGAATGATGGCCCAAGTACCTGGGCCCCTGCCACCCACATGGGAGACCCAGAAAAAAAAATCCTGGTTCCTAGCTTCAGCCTGATCCAGCCCCAGACATTACAGTCATTTGGAGGCTAAGAGGATGGAAGACCTCTCTCTCTCTCTCTCTCCCTCTGTGACTCCACTTTTCAAATGAATCTTTAAAAAATTTTAAAGAGTACAATCCAGTGGTTCTTAGTATGTTCACAGAGTTGTGCAACCATCACCATCAATTTGGGAGCATTTTCATTACCCGAGAAGGAAGTTCCATAACCATTAGCAGTCACTCCCTGTTTCTCTTCCATCTCTATCTATCCTCCTGCCGCAAACCCCCAGGCCTGAGCAAATACTTATCTACTTTCTTTCTCTGTAAATTGGCCCATTCTGGACTTCCCTCTGCCTTCTATCTACCTGCAGCGAGTATATAGCCTTTGATCAACACCCACACCCAACCACCATGCCACTCTATACTATGAGGTCAACTTGTTGAGATCCCACCGAAGTGAGACCATGTGGTATCTGTCTTTCCCTGCCTGGTTTATTTCATGTAACATGAAGTCCTCCAGGTTCAGCCAAATGACAGGATTTTGGTTTTATTTACAGCTGAGTAGCATTCCATTGTGTGTATAGACCACATTTTCTTTATCCATTCATCCATCGACGGGCACCTCCGTTGTCTGTCTGTTGCTTCCATGTCTTTGCTGTTGCTCCAATAAATATGTGAGTGCAAGTATCTCCTTGACATATTGATTTCATCTCTTTTGGTTGTTTTTTTTTTTTTAAGATTTATTAATTTATTTGAAAGACAGAGTTACAGAGAGACAGAGAGAGAGAGAGAGAGAGAGGTCTTCCATCCACTAGTCCACTCCTCAGATGGCTGCAATGGCTGATTCGAAGCCAGGAGCCAGGAGCTTCTTCCAGGTCTCCCACGTGGGTGCAGGGGCCCAAGCACTTGGGCCATCTTCCACTGCCTACCTGGGCCACAGCAGAGAGCTGGCCTGGAAGTGGAGCAGCCAGGACTAGAACCAGTGCCCATATGGGATGCTGGCACTGTGGGTGGCGGCTTTACCCTCTATGCCACAGTGCTGGTCCCCCATCTTCTTTGAATAAATGCCCAGTAGTAGGCTTGCTTGCTGGATTAGTTGGTAATCTTAGTTTTAATATTTTGAGGAAACTTCACGCTGTTTTCCATAATGGCTATGCTAATTTACATTCCTACCATCGTTCTATAAACATTCTGTTTCCTCTACATACAGATCAACTTCTGTTATCTTTTTATATATAATAGCTACTGCAACAGGTGTGAAGTGATATCTTATTGTGGTTTTGATTTGCATTTCTCTTATGGTTAGTGATATTGGGCATTTTTTCTATTTACCTGTTAGTCATTTGTATGTCTTTAAAAAAAAAAAAAAAAAGAACGAAAGAAAAAGAGAGGGCCAGCTCTGTGGCACAATAGATTAATCTTCCACTTACGTTGCCGGCATCCCACATGGGCACTGGTTCAAGTCCGGCTGCTCCACTTCAAATCCGGCTCTCTGCTGTGGCCCGGGAAAGCAGTAGAGATGGCCCAAGTGCTTGGGCCCCTGCACCCGCATGGGAGACTGGGAAGATGCACCTGATTCCTGGCTTTGGATTAGCACAGCTCCAGCCATTGCGGCCATCTGGGGATTGAACCAATGGAAGGAAGACCTTTCTCTCTGTCTCTCCCTCTCACTATCTGTAACTCTACCTCTCAAATAAATAAATAAAATATTAAAAAAAAGAAAAGTGTATTCAGATCCTTTGCCCATTTTTAAACTAGGATTTTTTTGTTCTTGCTATTGAATTGTTCACGTTCCTTATATATTTTGGACATTGACTCCTAATCAGATGCACAATTTGCAAATATTTTCTCCTATACTGTGGGCTATCTCTTCACTCTGTTGATTCCTTAGTGGTGAGGAAGTCTCAGTTTAATGTAATCCTACTTGTTTTTTTTTTTTGTTTGTTTGTTTGTTTGTTTTGCTTTAAGGGTGAAAATAAACCGCTATCTCTTACCATATACAAAAATCAACCCAAGATGGATTAAAGGCTTACATCTAAGATGCTAAGCTATGAAACTACCAGAAGAAACACAGGTGGAAAGCACATAGCATGGATCTGGGCAACGATTTTGGGGGAGTGGGGTGGATATGGCCTTCCAGGCTACCCGTCCAGTGTGTTCCGGTGGTGGCCCTAGCAGCCCAGGAGGGCCTGTGGTTGCGTCGGAGGTCACGGTTGGTTTCAGTCCACCTGGCCACCAGGGAACCGTTCTCTGCTGAAGCACACACCCTAGGATGTACCTGGGCCTGGGACGACTCAGGGGGAAAGAAGGGGGTGAGGGGCTAGGAGCGAAACGCAGGCCGAGCCAGGCAGCGGGAGCAGGCA